AAAACTTACCATTTATTTATTTAAAAAGTCTTTCAGTCTTTAGATGAATCTTTTAAGGGTTTGGGGTTTTCTTCTTTGCTTTTTTTTTTAATATATATATATATTTTAAAATTTATTTTTGGCTGCACCATGAGGCATGTGGGATATTAGTTTCCCCACCAAGGATCAATCCTACCTCCCCTGCATTGGAAGTGTGGAGGCTTAACCACTGGACCAACAAGGAAGTCCCAAGTTTTGCCACTTTAAATGTACAGTTAGTGGCTTTAGTATAATCTTAAGGATGCCACCATCACCCCTATCTAATTCCAAGAAGAAAAAAAAAAAAGTTGCTTTTAAAATCTGTTTAAAGAAAAATATTAAACGACTCAAGGAATAGAAATTAAGTAAGAAGGCAGATGGCCAGCAGCAATGCTGAGGACAGTAGACAGGTAAGCAAAGTCTGCGAATCCCTAGGAGGCTTTCAGAGGGCATGATGGCCCAGATTGACAGAAGGAGCCTCTAAGAACAATCAGGGATGGGAATGTGTACAGCACCCGCTGAGGGGTCTGGGGGAACCCCAGGGAGCCTCGGGGAAAAATAAGAGATGGGGCCAGGGCCCTCTGAGAGGTCAGGCTGTTCCTTTTCTCAGGAAGAGGACCATTTTTTAAAAAAAACTTCCTTTGGAAATTGGAAACCCTGGGCGCCTTCCAGGGCTATAAAAAGGCGGTGTGTCCACTGACCAGGTTAAAAATAAAAGATCCCCACCCAGGGGCATTTGGGGTTGGGAGGAGACACTGTGTAGGCAAGGCAGGGCAGGTCTTGCTGTGTGACCTAAGGCAGGTGTCTGCCCTCTCTGGCCTCTGGTCCCCAATAGCATTAGACTGAACGATTTCCAAACGTCCAGTGAACGGGCATATTTATACAGCTGCTGATCTTATTTACAGAGGTTGTTAACAGGGAGAGTGGCCTCTGGCATGGCCTGGAAGCTGGCACTCTCTGGCGGTTCTGACTCCCTCCCTACCTGGTTTCTCTTAGGAAGAAGCCGTTTCCCAGCCCCAGGGAAGGAGAGGCAGGTGCTGTTGTTCAAGGGTGCCCCCTAGTGTCAGTGAATGCTCATCGCAGCATCTTGCTAGTTTCTAAGTCCTGTCCGACTCTTTGTGACCCCATGGACTACAGCCTGCCAGGGTTCCCTGTCCTTCCCTACCTCCTGGAGTCTGCTCAAATTCATGTCCATTGAGTCAGTGACTCTGGATCCCCACAAATAAAGGAAGCATCCTGTTCTCCCCTCTGCCCCCCCACTGCTGGATACAGTTCTGTACCAGGTTGGACCACACTGGCTCTGCCCTACCCTTCCCAAGCCCAATGCTCCTTCCCACCACAGGGCCTTATGCTGGGCTGTGCCCCTTACCTAGAGCACCCTTTCTCCCTGGCATGAGCCCCTCCAGGAAGCCTCCCACAGCCACTCTTATCCCTGTTTCCCCTTCCACCATGTCCCATCACACCCAGCACCACCTTGGTTGTAACCACTTAGTCTAATATCTATCTCCCCCACAGATGTGTGAGCAGAAACAGGGTCTGCTTTAATCAACAATCTGAAACAGTCCCTGGCATACCTAGGTGCCAATACACACTGTTCAGTAAATGAATGAATGGGACACTCACTGGCAGGAAAGAAGGGAACATAGTATCAGGAGTCTGTTCTTCACAGCAAGGGAAACCATAAACAAAAGGAAAAGAAGACAACCTAAGACTATAAGAAAATATTTGCAGATGATGCAACTGACAAGGGCTTAATTTCCAAAACATACAAACAGTTATACAACTCAATAACAAAAACAAATAACCCAATCTAAAAATGGGCAGAAGACCTAAATAGACATTTCTCCAAGGAAGACATACAGATGGACAATAGGCACATAAAAAGATGCTCAATATCATTGATCATAAGAGAAATGAAGATCAAAAACTAAAATAAGGTACCACCTCACACTGGTCAGAGTGGCCATCATTAAAAATTCTCTCCAAATGCTTGAAAGGATGTGGAGAAAAGAGAACCCTCTTATACCTTTGGTGGGGATGTACAATTGGTGCAGCCACTATGGAGAACAGTATGGAGGTTCCTTAAAAAAAAATAAAAATAGAATAACCTGCAACTCCACTAGTGGGCATATATATGAAGAAAGTTCTAGTTTGAGAAGATACACGCACCTGTATGTTCATAGCAGCACTATTTACAATAGCCATGACACAGAAGAAATCTGAGGAGCCATCAACAGATAAACAGATAAAGAAGTACATATATACAATGGGATACTACTCCTCCATAAAGAAGAATGAAATAATGCCATTTGCAACAACAGGGAAGGACCTAGAGATGATCCTGTTAAGTGAAATAAATCAAAGATAAACATCATATCATTTCTATATGAATTCTAAAATATAAGTGAACTTATCTACAAAACCGAAACAGACACACAGACATAGAAAACAAATTTATGATTACCAAAGGGGAAAGGGGGTGGGGAGGAATGAAGTAGGAGTTTGGGATTAGCAGGTGCAAACTACTATATATAAAATATATAGACAACAAAGATCTCCTGCCTAGCACAGGGAACTATATTCAGTATTCTGTATTAAACCATAACAGAAAATAATATGAAAATATATACATAGGTATAACTGAATCACCTTGCTGTAAACCAGAAAAAGAGATTGTTTTAAAGATAAAAACAGAGTTAAGCAGTAATTCAAATTCAGGCAGACCTCAGAGGCACTGTAAGTTTGGGTCCAGACCATGGCAATAAAGTGAATATCATAATAAACCAAGTCACACAAATTTTGAGGTTTCCCAGTGCATGTGTGTGTGTGTGTGTGTGTACTCAGCCGTGTCCGACTCTGCAACCCCGTGGACTGTAGCCCACCAGCCTGCTCTGTCCACGGGATTTCCCAGGCAAGAATACTGGAGTGGCTTGCCATTCCCTTCTCCAGTTCCCAGTGTATATAAGTTATATTTACACTAAGACTGTATGCTATGAAATGTGCAGAACTTCCCTGCTGGTCCAGTGGTGAAGACTCTGCCTGCCAATGGAGACACAAGTTCTATCCCCGGTCCGGGAAGATCCTGCAGATGCCTCAGAAGCAGCGAAGCCCGAGCGCCACAACTATTGAACTTGTGCTCTCGAGCCCGGGATCCGCAACTGCTGAGCCCACCAGCTGCCATTACTGAAGCCCGAGCGCCCTAGAGCGCGTGCTCTGCAACGCAGAAGCCGCTGCCATGAGAAGCCTGCACACTGCAGCGAAGGGCAATCCCTGCTCACCACAATGAAGCCCAGCACAGCCAGAAATAAACGTGAATAAAGAAAAATAAAAGTGTGCAGCAGTTGTCTTGTTTAGCGTAGCCACCTTCCTGAATGATCTGAGCCAGACTTTCTGGAGGACTTGCTGCAGCTACTATGCCAGCACTCACTCCTCCCCCTTGCGCTGTTCTGTTATGAAGACGACCTCTTTCCTTCAACCCCATGAACCCACTTCTGCGGGCCTCACCCTTTTCTCCTGTGGTTTCCTCACCTCTCTCAGCCGTCACAGAACTGAAGAGGGCCAGGGCCAGGGTCTGGATGAGGCTTTGGCCTAAGGGAATGAATGCTGTGGCTGGTTTGATCTCCTATCCCGACCACAAAAACTTTCTCCCTCTCAGCAGTGAGGCTATTTTATTCTGTTTATCATTCGTGCATTCACTGGAGTAGCACTTGATCTCCTTCAAAGCCTTTTCCTTTCTTTGCATTCACAACTTGGCCAATTATTTGTGGCAAGAGGCCCAGTGGTCGGCCGCTCTCTGCTTTTGACATGCCTTCCTTATGAAGCATCATCATTTCTAGTTTCTGATTTACAGAGATGTGTGATTCTTCCTTCCCCTAGAACATGTAGAGGCCATTGTGGGGTTGTTAACTGACCTAGTTTCAATATTCTTGTGTCTCAGGGGATACGGAGGCCCAAGGAGAGGGGGAGGGAGGGGGAAATAGCTAGCCAGTGGGTAATCAGAACACACACACACACACACACACACACACACACACACACACACACACACACAGTGGGGACCTCCCTGGCAGCCCAGTGGCTAAGACTTGGCCTTCCAATGCAGGGACTGTAGGTTTGCTCCCTGGTCCGGCTGTCTAAAAAATAAAACATAAGACAGAAGTGCTAATGTAATAAATTCAATAAAGACTCTAAAAATGATCCACATCAAAAAAATTCTTTTTAAAAACATATATACATTTATTAAGTTCACAGTCTTGTATGGCATCTCCAAACAATTACAATAGTCAAAAAGCACTGATCACAGCTCATCGTGACAAATACAAGCATGGTGAAAAAGTCTGAAATTTTGTGTGAATTACCAAAATGTGACCTAGAGACACAAAGGGAGCAGAGGCTGTTGGGAAATGGTGCTGATAGACTTGCTTGTTGCAGAGTTGCCACAGACCTTCAATTTGTTTTAAAAAGAAAAATGCAATATTTGCGGAGGGCAATAAAGTGAAACAGGATACAGCAAGATATGCTTGTTCACATAGTGAGTGCCTACTGTGTGCCAGGTACAATGAAGTCAGACAAACGTTGTATCCTCCGAAAGAAGACCAATAACAATGTGTGTGATGACTAGATAACTTATATTTGTCCCAAAATGCTAAGAGTTATGCAAAAAAAAGGCAGAGTCAGGGGGGTTGGTGGGTGCCACTGAAAATGAATTTTAAATGGGGGGAACCTCATAGAGGCCTCTATTGAGAGAGTGACATTTGAGCAAAGATCTAGAGAAGGTGAGAGAAGAAATTACGGCAGAGTGTGAAGGAAGGACACTGGGCAGTGAGCAGAGTATGCAAAGGCCCTGGGGCAGGACTGTGGCTAGTGTGTTAGAGTTACTGCAAGGAAGTCTGTATGGCTGGAATCAAGTGGGCGAGGGGGAGAGAGGGAGGAGCAGAGGGCATGGAGGAAATGCACAGATCGTGTGGGTAGGACTTGGATGTTTACCCCCAGGCAGGTGAGACCCTGGAGGGCCAAGGGCAGAGGAGGGGCAGGGCCTGCCCTCTTATGGATGCTGCAGGGAGGACAGACTGTGGCAGTGAGCCTGGGAGTCTAGGGACCAGGTTGCAGGTGATGGCGCTGGTCCAAGTGGGAGCAGAAGGGGGAGAGAAGTGGGTGGGCTCTGGAGAGTTCTTTGAAAGCAGCAGAAACCTTGGCTGACAGGTCAGTTGAGGGTGCCTGCCATCTTCTAGCTGAGCAACTCCCAGGACAGATCTTCCATCCACAAAGAAGAGATGTGGGGGGAACAGGTTAGGGATGCTGGTCAGACACAGCGTGGCCATGCTGAGTGTGAGACTCCCCCCATTAACCCCCAGCACCTGGAGACGTCGAGGCATCTGGAGCCTGGAGCTCAGGGGAGGTCCGAGCTGGAGACAGGGCTGAGTGTATAGATGAGGCCACTGAGGAGGGGAGAGACCCCAAGGGGTCAAGGAGAGTGGGGAGGGATGGCATGGGGCGTGAAAGGGTAAGAGAATATGGGCCCTGAAGCCATGTGAGGACTGAGGTCTTGGAGGCCAACAGGCATGTAGACACTTCAGACAAGGGGAGGAGGACAGAGAAATGATCCCTGGACTTAACAACTCAGTACTAATGACCTAGACCAAGGTGGTTTCTGCAGCCTTGAGAGGAAAGAGGGCTGATTCTGGAGCAAGCACTTCAGGAAAGACCCCACCCTGGCCCCTCTCAAGGCTGAGCACTCTTTCTAGAAGACACTTTATTTGCATGGGCAGAGGAGTGGCGGAGGAGGTGGCTACGCCTCCAGAAACTTCCTCCTTCTGACTCCACTAGACTTTCATTTTCCTGAGTGAGGGCCTCTCTGGCCCGGTTATGGGTCAGGGTAACCAGCATCACGACCTCTGGCAAAGGCCCAGGACAAAGCCAGACCTGAGCAGGAAGCAGATGCTTCTAGAAGAAACAAGACACTGGTTGCCTCATCACGGGCCATCTGCAGATCTCCACACCAGCACCCTGGCGAACAACTCTGCCCAGGCATGTGTTTGTTCATTATCTCACTTGAGGAGAGAGCCTGAACACTCCATGGCCACCACGGGATAGGGATGGTGCAACCAGAAAATAAAAAACAAAAGTATGATTTCTCATATTTTTGTTCCACCCTTCAATGGATTGCCTGATCAACGCCTAGGCACCCCACTGCTCTAGCTATCCAGCTTCCAAGAGTGTTTCTCATACTGGTTATGAAGGGGCTTGGGGGGGAATACTATGCAGCAATGAAAAAGAATGAGAACATACAAACTGTGCTAGCCCATGCTCCTGATAATAGGGGTGGCCTAAGAATGCATGTTCGTGCTCTGCTGAGTGAAAGAAGTTAGACGCCAAAGACCATATGCTGTGTGATACCATTGATATGAAACGTCCAGAGACAGAAAGCAGATTCATGGTGGCCAGGGGCTGAGGAGGGGGCTGCCAAGTGACTGCTATTGGGGATGTGGCTTCTTTAAGGGGTGATGAGAACATTCTGGAATTGGGGATGACTTTGCAATATATTGATTATACTAAAAACCACTGAAGTGTACACTAAAAAACAACATAATTCTCATAGGAAAAAAACTGAAGCTTTAGATTTTTAAAAAGGGAAAAAAATTTAAAAAACTTCCCCCTTTGTTTTCTTTTTTTTCGGGGGCGGGGGGCGGGGCGGGGGCTGTACTGGGTCTTTGTTCCTGCAAAAAAGCTTTTTCTAGTTATGGCTAGCAGGGCCTACTCTCTAGTTGCAGTGCTCAGGTTTCTGATTGCAGTGATTTCTCTTGTTCCAAGCACAGGCTCTAGAGCACTTGGGCTCAGTAGTTGTGGCTGGCAGTAGTTGTGGCTCTACAGTGTATGGAATCTTCCCGGACCAGGGATCAAAGCAGTGTCTCTCGCACTGCAAGGATTCTTAACTACTGGACTACCAGGGAAGCCCCTCCTCTGTTTTTCCTTCAAGGCTGTTTGGCCTAGAGGAAGCACAGGTCCTCTCTAGGAAACACCCCCAGGCCGGTGGAGCCATGTGAGGTAGGCTGGTCTCTGAGCTGGTGGTAGCCACCAGGGGGCGCTGGGGCAGCAGGAATCGTGGCCCCCTGTGAAGTTGACCTTCCCTACAGGGTCTCCCCTCCAGGCCTTTGCTAGTGCTGTGGCCACCCCCAGGGACACTTTTACCCACCAATGGTTCGTTCTGACATAAGCCTCTGGGGTCAGCTGACTTCCTCCTTCCAGAAGGTCCTCTTAATTCCCCCCAGACTGGTCAAGGATCCCCTTTGAGCCCCCTACACTTAATCACAGTCCTGACCACCCTGTAACTCTATCTCTGAAACTGCTCCATGACCCCCGGAAGGACAGAACAAAGGTGTCTCAGGTCATCTAAGGGGGTGAGCACTCAATCATCCCTATGTCCAAGGGCCTGCACATGGTAGGAGCTCAATAAGTGTTGGTTGGCTAAATGGATGGAAGAATCCACATCCTCTCCACTTACTGCCCAGTAAGCTCCATGGGGGCAGGGACCAGGCCTGTGACCACAGTGCTCAGCATGGTCTGCCCACAGTAGGTGCTCACTAACTGTCTGTCAAAAGGATTCACTTTACTGAACAGTTATTGTGTGCCACGGTCTGTGCTGGGCTCTGAAAATGCTGCAGTGACTAAGACAGATCAGGCCCAAGCTCCCTCGAGGTGGGCAATCTGTAGTGGAGAAGCCAGAAATTAGCAAGTAATGAAGTGAACAGGAATATTTCAAAGAATTTTTAAAAATCAAGGCCATAAATTCACAAGCGCTAAGATCCAGTAGAGAGACACCTGGCTCCTTATCCTGCCCCAAAAGACTTCTTGTGAGCTGTGTGACCTTAGATAAATGATACCACCCCCTCCTGACCTCATTTTCCTCATCTGTAAACTGGGAACACTGTTTCTAGCTCCCATGGCCATTGAGAGAATGAAGTGAGTCCAAGCATGCAAGCTTGGTCACTCAGTCTTGTCCAGTTCTTTGCCACCCGGTGGACCTAGCCTGCCAGGTTCCTCTGTCCATGGAATTTTCCAGGTAAGAATACTGGAGCAGGTTGCCATTTCCTCCTCTAGGGGATCTTCCCAACCCAGAGATCAAACTCACGTCTCCTGCATTGGCAGGCGGATTCTATACCACTGAGTCACCTGGGATGCCTCAGCTCAGGGCTTTCAAAATGATCATCCTTTAAATATATTGGGTTGATGCAGTGATGTACCTACCAGAGTTCCAGACCGAAGCTTGCCAGGGCCATAGCACAGGTGAGAAAGATGCGGCCCAGAAAAGGGCTGTGACTTGTGCCTCACAACATTTCAGGGACGAAATAAAAGCTCACGTTCTGAATGTGCCCACTTCTCCTCGTCTTCTGCCTCCACCGGGGTCTAGCTCCCAGCCTCACTAGCCTGGACTCACAGCCTCTGCCTCGCTCCCCAGTCTGCCCTCCCAGAAGCAGCCATCAGAGGGCGCGTGTGAGCACCTGAGTCAGACTCCGCCCCTCTTTTGCCCGTAGCCCTCCAGCGATGGCAACTCCCTGAAAGCAAAAACCTAAGTCCTCCTGCAGCCCACAAAGCCCTGCACGACCTGCCTGTCCCCTCTCTCCCGGACCTCCTCCCTCTCTCCCCCTCACCTACTCTGTCTGTCTTTGCTGTTCATGCAACAGTATGTGCGGTCCTGCCCCAGGGTCTTTGCACAGCCTGTTTCTTCTGCCCAGAAGATCACCTTCCTTTCCAAGTTCTTCCCATGATGCCCAGCTCCTTTTCTTCCTCTAGATACTGGCTGTAACGCAACCTCCTCAGAGAAGCCCTTCCTGGTTATCTGGTCCAAAGTTCTTCCTCGTGAGGCACTACCATTAGGTGCCCTGTTTATTTCCTCTGAAGCCTCCTCACTTTCTGAAACTACCTCCCTTCCTCATTTGATGACTCATTCACTGCTCCCTCCCCTCCACCTCCGCCTGCAATTGAAAATAGAGTAGGGGACAGTTCACATCTGTCTTTGCCCCTACTGCACCCCCAATATCTGGGACGATTCTGGCACACAGCAGGAGCTCAATAAATATTGGTCAACTGAAAAAATGGCATGTCCAATGAATTGTGGCAGATCCTAGCCTCAGTCATCAGAAACTTTCTGTTTGGGACTTCCCTGGTGGCCCAGTGGTTGGGACTCGGCGTTTTCACTGGGGTGGCCCAGGTTCGGTCGTTGGTCAGGGAACCAAAATCCTGTAAGACGTGCTGCAGGGTCAAAAAGAAGAGAAAATAAAGGAAACCGTCTGTTCCCTTGGCCCCACCCCAACCAAGAATCTAATCTTTCCAGATTTCACTTCACTGGGTGGGGGGGGCCAGTCCAGGAGCAGATCCTCGACAAAATCTGAGTCAGCTACTAAAATAGCAAATGGTGCGTGACAGCCCTGGGTGACTCACACCAGGCCCGCCCTTTGGGGTGGCTGGTGGAACAAAGGGCATGCTAAGTCAGTGTTCAAATCATGCTGTTGGGCCAGAGGAGGCCTGCACACCTGACCCGATACACCCTTCCTGGGCTGGTCCTCATATCCTCCCTAGGAAATCTGACTACGGCATTGCAACCTCCCCATTTACAATCAGTGTGGCTTTGGAGCCAGAACTCACCTCTCTCAGCCTTGGTTTTCCTCATCTGTAAAATGGGACCAGTAACAGAATCTTTTACCCTGGGGAGGGGGGAGTCTTTTTTTTTTTTGGCTGCACTGCAGGGCATGTGGGATCTTATTTCCCTGACCAGGGATGGAACCACATCCCTTCCAGTGGACGTCGGAGTCTTAACCACTGGACCACCAGGAAAGTCCCAGGGAGGTCATTTTTGAGGATTAGAATGTTTACATCTATAAAGCCTCCAGAATGGATAAATGGTAAGTGCTCAACAAACGTTAATGCTGTTCTTACTCTCAAAAGAGGGTAAGAGACCCTTAAAACGATTAATCCCCTTCATATCAGACATGAAGTTAACAAGCACTTACACTGTCCCTGGTATTTCAGTGCAATCACCCATGATCTGCTGATGATCTTGGAACAATGGCCTCATAAACCCATTTCACAGATGAGAAAGCAGAGACTCAAGAGAGGTGAAGGCACTTGTACAAGAATACACAGTGTGATCAGAGCCCAGCCTTCAAGGTAAGAGCATCAATGCAGACCCCCTCTTCCCCAAAAAAGGGCTGCAATAGAAACAGCTAAATGTATTCTCAATATGTTTTCTCTGCACCTTCTCTAGCATTAGAACCAACACTTTTGGCAAAGCACATGGCCCATGAGAAGATTCTATTTCCCAGCTTCCCTTGCAGCTGGGGATGGCCCATGCGACTACATCCTGAGGAATGAAGTAAAACCAAATTTTCAGCTCCTGTTCCTTTTATGGCAATAGTAGCCACCTACTCTGTTTTTTGTTTTGCTTTTAGCCACACAGCATGGCATGTGGGATCTGTTTGCTGACAAGATATGGAACCCACGCCCCCTGCATTGGAAGCAGAGAGTCTTAACCACTGGACCACCAGGGAAGTCCCACTAGCCACGTTTTTATCTGGACAAAGGGCAAGGAGCAGGCTTTCCTGAGTACAATGGTGCTATCAAAGCATTCAATAAATATTTATTACAATTGAAACACCATACCCATACCCCCAGCTCATTCTCCCCATCACCACCATCTAGAGAGGGGAAGAGAGAGAATTTGTAAATTCACATCCAGTTCTGGCCACCTCCAGGGCCAGAAAGTCATGGGGCCCATTTTGCCCTATTTCCTGAGATGGAAGTTTTCCCCCCCCCGCAGTGTCCTGAAAGTAGCAAAGGACCCCATGTTCTACCGCCTTCTAGAGATGGGAGGGGGGGTGGTGGTGGTCAAAGCCAAGGTCATCAGGTCCAGTCACTAGGTCATTCCGTTTCCTGCGTCTTGTCCTCGGGTGCCTGGGTCCCTCTCTGATTCCACATGTGGTTGTTGACCCCCAGCTGGACCATCTGTGCATGGTGTATGATGAGGGGCTGGAGCCCAGGGCTCTGAGAGTGCGCAGGTGGTGCCTGTGGGAAGTCTGGGGGCTGTGAGAAGGCCGGTGGGGGTTGTGGCAAGGCCGGCGGGGGCTGCGGAAAGGTCGGCGGAGGTTGTGGAGGTTGCGGAAAGGTCGGCGGGGGCTGCGGGAAGATCGGTGGGGGCGTGCCCCCCAGCCAAGGAGGTAGGGGCGGCGGCTGATGACCCGGCAGGGTGGGAAAGGGTGATGGTGGGGTTCCCAGGGACCCCTGTCCCCCAAAGGGCAGCTGAGTCCCAAATGGCATGTAATTCGCCAAAGCAACCCGGAGCTTCTCCACCTGCGTCTGGTAGGCCAAGTAGCTGTGGACGTAAGCCGAGTACTCCGCGCCCCACGCCGCTGCCTGCTGCCGCTCACTTTCCAGCTGCTGGCTCTGTTCCCGTAGTGCCCGGGCATCCTGGTCCTTCCTCCACTTGGCCTTGCGGGCCCGCAGCATCTGGGGCTTGAAGGTGTTGGTCACCTTCCTGGCGAAGATCTTGGAGTGCTCGTCCAGCCACACCAGGCCGGTAAGCAGGCTAGATGTGCTGGGGCTGAGCTGGGCCAGGGAACTCTCCAGGGGCAGGAAGGGGATCACGCAGTCCTGCCATCCGTGGCGCGTGAGGCTGCGCATCAGAGACTGGTTCGTCTGATGCTGGCTCAGGCGGCAGTCGAAGTTGGAGGTGAGCAGCAGGATGATGAAGGCCGAGTGGTCTAGGGCGTCCTGCAGGCAGTGCAGCTCACCACGCCCTGGCACCTGGAAATCCTCGCAGAACGTGGCCCCATCGCGCACGCCCAGCGCCTCCAGCCTCTCGCGCACGCGCAGTGCGATGTGCTCATCCGCACTCGCGTGGAGCACCACAAAGTTATAGAATTTCTGCTCGGACGACTCCAGCTCCGCAGGAGAGGGCTCTGGGTTCCAGACGGTCGGGTGAGCCTTAGGAGAGGTCGGGTGAGCCTTAGGAGAGGTCGGGTGAGCCTTAGGAGAGGTCGAGTGAGCCTTAGGAGGGGTCAAGTGAGCCTTAGGAGCGGTCGGGTGAGACTTAGGAGAGGTCGATGGAGAAGGAAAGGGAGACATCGATGGGGAAGGAAAGGACGGGGATGTTTGGGGCATGGAAGGAGTCGGTGGGCGTGGCTGAGCCGACAGGTAAGCGGTGTCTTCCTCTGAAAGTTGGACTGGCGTCTGATCTGTGACTAGACAGGCGTTTTTGGAAGGTGAAGGGAGAGATTTGGGGGCTGCTGGCATATCTGTACACTCCACCGGATAGTGGGTGCTGATTTCCGGCACTTCTGGGAGGTCGTGCGGGCTGGCGGGGCAGGCATCCGTGGTCACCTCGGGAAGCCCGGGGACTGGGCTGCTTGGCCGCACCGGGGAGCCGGCAGCCTCCACCGATGGGGGCCAGCTCATCTCCTCCGGTTCCTGGCAACCCAAAGGGGCGGGCTCGGGCACCACGCTGCCCTGGGGATGGTCACACAGCTTGCTGAGCCCATGGGGATTGTGGTGCACGCTGAGGAGGGCCATGGTGGGCGACTGACTGATTTCCAAGTTGCTGGCCAGGGAGGCCGGGCTGCCAGTGGATCTCAGGGAACACGCTCTGCTCCAGCCCGAAAGATGCTCTATGGGCCGAGGGTCGCTCCGCGCCCGGGCAGGTGAGGCCGAGGAGGGCGGGAGGCAGCCCAGATAGGAGCTGGAGCGCAGTGTTTGGACTCCTCCCAGATCCTCAAGGACGTCCCACCCGCACCGGTCCCGGGCCTCTTCCTGGAGCTCCCCCAGCTGGAGGTCGTCCCTGGAGCTGAAAGCGCGGAGGGCTGCCCGGTAGGCCTCCTCCCGCATAGGCGCGGGACACAGCTTCTCCTCGGCGAGAAGGTGGTACACCCTGGCAACGGCCCAGGACAGGTCTGGGGGCTCCTCTGGGGCCTCGGTGCTGTCCACACCAGCCCACTGGCGGGCCACCAGTTGGGCCACCGCATCCGCCTTCAGCGCCTCCAAGGAGATCCTGGCCTCGGTCTCCTGGCCCAGCTTCAGGAGCACCATGGCGTGCAGGAGGTACGCCCCCCGGCAGCCGGGCCTCAGGGTCTTCAGTTTGTGCTTAAGATACAAGAGCTTGTCCTGACCCGCGGCGCCTAGAATGTCAAAGGCGGCAGACAGCGAAGGGCCCTTGCAGGCCATGGGCTCAGGTGGGCGTGGCCTCCAGCGGCTGCGGGAGAAGCACTGGATGATGAAGTCATGTTCCGCACGCCACCCCGCTGCGCTGCAGGCCCGGTGTCTCCACCCTGCTCACGGGTACCAGGCCCCCTGGGGACTGTAGAGCAGACCTGTGAAGCAGAAAGACATGCTTATCACCAGAAAGAGGGCTCTGAGAGGCAGTCCAGACGTTACCGCCCCCACCCACCACCGCCAATGCCGCCGAAACCCAGCAGACCCGGACTGCCCTGATGGTCCAGTGGTTCAGAAACTGCCTTCCAATGCAGGGGATGTGGGTTTGATCCCTGATTGGGGAACTAAGATTCCACCTGCAGCAGAGCTACTGAGCCCACGCTCTGAAGCCCAAGTGCCACAATTGGAAAGTCTGCAGGCAAGAATACTGGAGTGGGTAGCCATTCCCAGGAGGATCCTATGGAGAAGGAAATGGCTACCCAATACAGTATCTTTGCCTGGAGAATCCCACCGACAGAGGAGCCTGGCGGGCTACTGTCCATGAAGTCAAAAAGGGTCGACACGACTGAGCAACTAACGTTTTTTCCATTCACAGAGGAAAAAGGTAAGCCAGAGAAGTAAAGTCATTTGCCCCAAGTCACAGTCAATGAGAGATCTGGGGTTTGTTTGTTTAGTTGTTTGTTTGACTTTTTGTCACATGGCATGGGAGATTTTAGTTCCCCAGCCAGGGATGGAAACTGCGCCCCCTATGTGAAAGCACCCAGTCTTAACTGTTGAACTGCCAGGGAAATCCCAGAGCTGGGATTTGAACCCCAGTTGTCTGGTTCCAGAGGCTGGGGCTAATGTGCTTAACCACAAGACTACACTGCCTAGTAGGCTGCTAATAAGCCTACTTATGGAAATGTTTCAGGGAGTGAGTAGCGTTAACATATGGAAAACTCTGAGTCCCATGAATGGAAGCCAGCAGGTGCTCAGTACATGTCACTCAGGAAGAGTCAGTCTCCTAGGTGACCCCAGTGACCCCACATCCTGGTATTCACAGTCTGGGGTGGTCCTTCCAATGTGGTCCTAGAGTTCTGTGAGATTGATAGAATATGGCAGAAGTGATGAGGCGTCACTTGTGACATTAGGTTATGAAAGACACTGGCTTGGGATTTCCCTGGCAATCCAGTGGTTAAAATTCTGCGTTTCCATTGCAGGGGGTGTGAGTTCGATCCCTAGTTGGGAAACTAAGATCTCACATGCCATATGGTACAGCCAAAATAAATATAATTTAAAAAAAATAAATAAAAGACACTGGCTTCCTTCTTAGTCACTCTGTCACTCTGTCAGGGGTAAATCACGATTTAAGGGGCCCACCTGGGGAGGAACTGAGGCTTCTCACCACCAGCCACATGGGGGTGGCGATCTCAGAATCCAGCCCCAGTTGAGTCTTCAGATGATGCAGCCAGGAAGACAGCCAGACTGCAAGTTCATCAGAGACCTAGAGACAGAAGCATCCAGCTCATCTGACCCCCAGATTCCTAATATTCAGAAACTGTGTGAGATAATAAATGTTTGTGTTTTGAAGCCACAAAGTTCTGGGGTAATTTGTTATGTAGCAATAGCTAACTGATACATGTTTCATTATTACTATGAAGTTAATCATGACAGAGGGTCAGGTCTATGACTAACACTGCTGCCAAGCCCTTTGGAGGCTCTTTCCTCTTCTCTCCATTTCTTGAAAAATGCCCAGTTGGCTCCCATCACAGGCTCTTTGCACACACCATTCCCTCTGCTTGGAGCACCGAGACCTTTGCCTGGGTGACCCAAATCTCATCCTCAGCCCCCAGGTACAATGACACCACCTCAGGGAGCCCTCCGTGACCACCCTGGTTCTCTATCCCAGTCTGTCTTCTCCATGTCCCCCAACAACAGAACTGGCCACGGGTGACCTTTTCCTGTGTGTTAAACCTTTTACATTTTCTGCCTGCCTCCCAACCACCAGCTTTCCTGATAGCTCAGTTGGTAAAGAATCTGCCTGCAATGCAGGAGACCCCAGTTTAATTCCTGGGTCAGGAATATCCTCTGGAGAAGGGATAGGCTACCCACTCCAATATTCTTGGGCTTCCCTATGGCTCACCTGGTAAAGAATCTACCCGCAATGCGGGAGACCTGGGTTAGATCCCTGGGTTGGGAAGATCCCTTGGAGAAGGGAAAGGCCACCCACTCCAGTATTCTGGCCTAGAGAATTCCATGGACGTCCATGGGGTCACAGAGTCTGACTCGACTGAGTGAGTCTCACTTTCACTTTCACTTCCCAACCAACAGAATCATCAGAGGGTGAGGGGCTGTGGAATCATGGAGAAGGTCCTAATAAATACTTGTTGAATGAATGAATCAGTGAATATATGACACTGACACCTTCCAACACTGTTGATAAGAAAACAGGCACAGGACTTCCCTGGTGGCACAGTGGTTAAGAATCTGCCTGTCACTGCAGGGGGCTTCTCTGGTAGCTCAGCTGGTAAAGAATCTGCTTGCAAGGCAGGAGACCCTGGTTCAGTTCCTAGGTTGGGAAGATCTTCTGCAGAAGAGATAGGCTACCCACTCCAGTATTCTTGGAGTATTCTCTGAGCCTCCAGTATTCCTGGTGGCTCAGATGGTAAAGAATCTACCTGCAATGCAGGAGATCTCCAGGAGAAAGGCATGGCAACCCACTCCAGTATTCTTGTCTGGAGAATCCCCATGGATAGAGGAGCCTGGTGGGCTACAGTCCATGGGGTCGAAAGGAGTCGGACACAACTGAGTGAATAAGCACAGCAAAGCACAGCCAGTGCAGGAGACACATGTTCAATCTTTGGCCCGTGAAGATCCCACATGCCTCAGAGCAATTAAGCCCTTGGCTGCAACTACTGAAGCCTGAGTGCCCAGAGCCTGTGCTCCACAAGAGAAGCCACCTCACTGACTAACCCTGACACCACAACTAGAGGACACCCCCGTGCGGCAACAGAGACCCAGTACAGCCAAAAATAAATAAAAGAAAACAGGCAGGCGCTTCACTGGTGGCTCAGTGGTAAAGAATCTGCCTGTCAATGCAAGAGACACTGGTTCTATCCCTGGTCCAGGATGATCCCACGTGCTGTGGAGCACATAAGCCCATGCATCACAGCTACTGAGCCTGTGCCCCGGGCCTCGGAGCTGCAGACAGTGGGCCCACGTGCTGCAACCACTGACGCCCGAGCGCTCTGGAGCCCAGACTCTGCAACGAGAGAAGCGCTGCAACGAGAAGCCTGCGCACAGCAGCTGAAGAGTAGCCCCCACCTTCCACAGCCAGAGAAAGTCCATGCAGCAACGAAGACTCAGCACAACCAAAAATAAAACTAGATAAAGCAATTTAAAAAAGAAAAGAAAACAGGCAAAGAGGAACTTTCCTCATGGTCCAATGGTTAGGACTCAGTGCTTCCACTTGCTGGGGAGCATGGGTTTGATCCCTGGTCAGGGAACTAAGGGCTTCCCAGGTGGCACTAGTGATAAAGAACCCACCTGCAATGCAGGAGACGCAGGAGACCTGGGTTTGATCTCTGGGTTGGGAAGATCCCCTGGAGGAGAGCATAACAACCCACTCCAGTATTCTTGCCTGGAGAACCCCATGGACAGAGGAGTCTGGCGGGCTACAGTCCATGGGGGTCACAAAGAGTCAGACACAATGGAAGCAACTTAGCACAGCACAGCGCAGCACAGGGAACTAAGATCCCATAAGCCACGTGGTGTGGGGAAAAAAAAAAAAGCAGGCACAGAGAGGTTTCTCCCAAGGGCACAGAAAGGTTTCTCCCAAGGGCACAGAACAAGACACCGTGAAAAGTGTCCCAAACCCCCAATTTTAAGTCCCCAGGTGCTCAAGGTATATCACATTCAGACCTGTAAAAATGCACAGCCTCACTTCCAGTCCAGGGGGCTAAGAACACTTTCTTTGCCCCTCAACTATGCCTACTGCCTGTTCCACCCTGGTGCCCACGATGAGAACCCCCCCAAGAGCCCAAAACCAGTGCATCTCCACCATGGACAACTCTATCCCCCCAGGGGACACTTGGAAACATCTGGGGACAGTTCTGGTTGTCACAACTGCATTGAAGGAGGCTTCTGGCATTGGGTGGGTGGGTGCCAGGGATGCAGTTCAACATCCCACAGCGCCCAGGACGACTCCCCTGTCCCGGAGAGAATGACCCAGCCCTAGATGCTGAAAAGCCCTGACGTGGAGAATCCCTGATCTGGATCAGGAGCTGATTCATCCATCAACCCCCTTGACTGACAAATCACAGACGTCACTGTATAAATGACTCAGCTTTTTTTTTTTTTTTTTTTTGCAAATTCATTTTGAGCAAATGTCATAGGGCCAAGGACAAAGGTCAATGATTCCAGGAAAGCCAGGCACAAAGCAGAGACAGCCAGAGGGTGGAGCGTTGAGGGAGATGTGACTGGGCGGAGTGGGCAGAGAAGAAGTTGGCAAGAAGGGGCAGAGGGTGAGGCAGTGCTGGGGGAAACCCACGAGGAGGTGAGCAGCGTCTAGTTGTTTTTGAAAATTGAAGTGGCCTGACATGTTGAAATGATTATGGGGATGGAGAAATAACAGAGATCCCAAAAAATGGAGCTGACTTCCTAGTGGGGGGGACAAGTGGTCAACAGAGACATGAGTGAAATTCATGGTATATCACATTTAGACTGTATAAATGCCACTGAAAAACAAGGAGGGGAGGAGGGGCATGGTCTCCAAGAATTAAGGGGTGGGTGTGTGCAGTTTTGTTTTGTTTTTAATATTTATTTATTTGGCTGCACTATATCTTAGTTGTGGTACACAGGATCTTTAGTTGTGGCATATGGGATCTACTTCCCTGACCTGGGACCCCTGCATTGGAAACAGAGTCTTAGCAAGTGGAGCACAAGGGAAGTCCGTGTGCAGTTTTAAACAACATGGTTTAGGAAGGTCTTGATGAGAAGAGAGATTTCAACAGGACACAAACATGGGGAGAAAG